CCCGCCGTCACATAAATCAAGAAGTACCCATTGCTAGCCAAAGAGTTGTTCGGCGCGGCGCTAACGGCGTCGTTTATGGTCGTGAAGTTTCCGCTACCGTCCTGACACACCGTCACGATATCGTTCACCGACACTACCTCGTCGTTCTCATCCTCCGCCTGAAGCAGCTTCCGCCGGCTCACCGCCTCATAAACGGCCCTATTCTGCCCCGACATCCGCAACGGCAACCGTCTGTTTGTGGTCCCCAACTGCTTCCCTCCCGGCGACCACGTCGTCGCCTTCTTCTTCTTAGGTACCCAACCTTTGGTGAAGAGAGCGAGGGAGACGCTGTAGAGCTTAGTGTCGTTTTTGAGCGGGGCTGAGATGCCATTTTTGACGCTCCAAGACGACGCCGTTGCTTGTATGCCATCCAAGCAGGTTTGCTGGTTGGTCAAGATTGCGCTCAGCAGGGTTTGGACGTCTTCGGCCTTTAGGGTTGAGAGGACTCTGCTGGTTTTGTTGACGGTTTCGAAGGAGCTCAACAGGAAGTCCAAGTTTAGACCTGCGAGCTGCCGGCAGTCCTCGAGAGCTCGGACCGCCGGCACCGATAGCTTGTCGCGGTTTCGGAGGTACTTTTCGATTAAGGACTTGAATTTTCGGGCTTGGGATACGGATTTTTTGACCGAGGCACGGCCGTAGTAGTAGACATTCCCGGTTTGGTTATAGGGTTGAAGAACATTTTTACAGTATGTTGGATCTGGGATGTTTTTGCAAAGGTTTTTCGGGGATACAGGAGTTGTTGGAGAGGTGTTATCTGCAGCCAAAGATGGAGAAGAAAAGGAGAAGAAGATGAAAAATGAAGCAGCTAAAATGGTCATGACTAGCTTGAGAGCTTTCATGGCTTTGGAGAAAAGGAAAGTTGTTTTTTTGAGAATGTGTATGTTATGTGTATTGATTAGTGGGATTTGTTAAGGGGAATTTGGTTTTAATTTATAAGGGAGTGTTGGGAATGAGTGATATTGAGCTTTATGTAAAATATAATACTGTAGTTGTAGGGGTTAAAAGAGAGAATTTAATAAGGTGGTATTGTATTTTGTCAAAGTCAACCTCTAAAACTGTACAAAAGCGCGTCGATCTTGCAGGACTTGGACGTTCCATGTGTACGTTGCCATGAATGTTAGAGATAAAGACTCAGACAGGTTCTATTTTCGGAGCATATTTTTGTAAATCTAACTTAATTCAATATTTGATCTTCTAGAATATATTTTCTATTCAAATTGATATATTACATTTTC